GGAGGAGGCCGACGCCGCGGAGGACGACGGCGCCCGGGCCAACGGCGGCGGGGGCGCCGGGCCCAGGAACGGGCCCTCGGCCCCCGGCTCCCCGGGCGCGGCCCCCGCCCCGCCGGGCGCGGCCGCCTCCCGGTTCCGGGTGGTGAAGCTGGACCAGGGCCCGGGAGAGCCGTACCGACGCGGGCGCTGGACTTGCCGGGACTTCTACGAGCAGGAGGCGGAGCACCCGCCGGCGGGGCGGCTGGCGGACTCGGCGCGGCACCCGCAGTCCCTGGACTCGCGGCTGGAGGCGGCCGGGCTGCTGGTGCGGCCGCCCAGCCCCTTCAGCCCGCAGCCCGGCCGCCGGGGCGCCGGCCTGCAGGCCCACCTGGTGCTGCCGGGCCCCGGGGCCCCCGGGCACCAGGCCCGCTCCCTCGGGGGCGGCCTGCCCGCGCTCCTCCGCCCCCACCGGACTCCCCCCAGCCCCGTGTCCCTGCGGAGCCCCCTGGCGGCGGCTGAGGCGCCCCTGCTCGCCGGCGGGGACGGCGCGAAGGACTCTGGCGAGCCCGGCCCCGGCCCCGGGCCCGGCCCGGCCCGGCCGGCGGAGGAGCTCCTGCTGCCCAAGAGCGTCGCGCAGCTGATGCACCGCGGGACGGAGGAGCGCCGCAGGGTGAGAGCTCGGGGCCCCGGGGCACTGGCTTTGCTCCCCCAGCCCCCGGCTCCCCCCCGGGGCCGTGCAGGGCCGAGCCCCAGCGCCAGCCCCAGCCCTAGCCCTGCCTGGGACGGGCTCCCGACCTGCACGCCCCCGGGGGATGCGTTTGCCGGCGGAACTGCCCGCTGCCGGACGACGAGGCGGAGGAGCAGGACTTGAACCCGGGGGAGAGCTGGGTCGGGGGAGGGGGGCGCGTGCTGGCCTGGACGGTCTGGGGCCGGCAAGCCGTGGCGGGGGCAGCGGGGACCTGGAAGCCCGTGGTGGCGGGCGTGGGGGGAGAGGAAGACCGGGCCCCGGGGCTTTGGGAGTGGGGCCCCCAGGCGGGTAGGGAGGGCGACGCGACTGGCCCACCCCCAGGCAGCCCCTCCCCTCAAAATCCGCAGCCGGAGGACAGAGGCACCCCTTGTTCTCGCCTCCCCCCCTCCTCCGAGGCCCCCGTGGGGCCGGGGCTCCCCCTTCGCCAGCCAGCCACGGGCCCTCGCTCCCCCGGCCAGCATCCTGCCCCCAGGAGGGCGGCCCCTGCCCCCCAGGCCTCGGGCTTAGTGCTCGCCCGCGCTCTCTCCCGCCAGGGCCCGACGAGGGAATCCCGCTCGCGCCCCTCCTCGCCGGCCCCCCCGCTGTTCCGGGACGGGAGCCCCAGCCGGAGAACGTCGGACCCTTTCGGGGCCGCCCGCCTCAGCCTGGCACGGTCCGTGCTGGGCATGGGGGCCGCCCACGACAGCGACGACGAGAGGTAGGGGGGGCTGGCGGGGCACACGGGGGGCGGGCGGCCGCAAGGAGGCAGTCACAGTTCCCGCCCCGGGGGTGCACAGGGAGCCCACCGGGGTGGTGGGGCAGTGGGGCGGGCTCCTTGGCCAGCAGCTGCCCTTCTATGGGGGGCAGAGCAGCAGGCAGAGGAAGGGGCACTCTGCACATGCTTAGGGGCATCTGCAGCTACGTGGCGAGGCTGAGCCCTGGCACAGGGGCGTGCCGGTTGCTTGGTCTGGGCTCGGGCAGGGCTCTGTGGCTGCCTTTTGCTGTTAGGGAAGCTTTCGGCTTGGGCAAGAGGAAGGAAGTGGGGGGGCAGCGGGCAGGGGGTGTCAACAGAGGGAAAAGATGTGACTCAAGCCGTTTCCAGCACTGGGGGGAGAGGGGGGAGCATTTTCCCAGCCAGCGAAGGATGGATTAATGCCCCCCCAAATGCTCCCGCAGAGAGCATGTGCTAAGAGGGGCCGGCCCCCGCCCCTCACACAGGGCCCCCCCGCCCCGCCCCGATGAGGAACGCCTGCGAGCATTTGCTCCAGGCCCGCCACGGCTCCGTGGCTCCTCCCTGGCGTGGGGAGGCGATCTGGGGGCTCCGGCCTCGGCAGCTCTGGCTCCTGCTCCGGCAGCTTGCAACGCAGAGGACTAGCAGCATGCGAGTCAGGGCAGAGATTCTTGAGGCTTCCCGGCTGAGCTGCCCCAGAAGAGCGGCTGCCGCGCCCCCCTCCTCCACCCCCGAGTGCCACTGCGCCAGGTAGCTGAGGTTGGCCGCACTTCTGCGCCACTCGGCTATTTCCGTCCCGGCTCGGGAAGCGGCCGGCCCCTCTGCGGGGCTGCGGGGATCTATTTCGAGAGCGACCCTCGGTGAACCCGGGCCAGCTCTGCCCAAAAACCAGGCGCGTGGCTCACGTCGCCTCCCCGGCCGGGAGGGGTGGAGGAGGCCCGGCTCCGTGCCCCGAAGGGCGGGCTCTGGCGCCTGGCCTGGCCTGGCCTCGCCCCCTTGGCCTGGGAGCCCACGGCTCCTTCGGCCTGCCAGGGAGGCCTTGGGGGGGCGGAGGCCGTGCACCTCCGTGCTCCCCCCAGGGCACCCAAGGCCCTGCTCCGTCCCTGCTGGTTCTCCCAGGGAGGAGCGGCCGCGCCCAGAGAGCGTCGCTCGGGACCCCTCTTGGCTGGAGAGAAGGAGCCCGTGCGGAAGGCGGTGGGGCTGTGCCCGTCCCCAAAGTCACGAGCCGAGGAACGGGCCCCCCAGGGGATCGCAAGATCGCTGGCGGCGCCCCCCCCCCCCGAGCAGCCACGAGGTCAGGGCTGCCCCACGCTTCAGCACTGCCCCCCATGCCCACGGGGAACCATCGTGGCGCTCATGGCCTGGGCCAGCATCCGGCCCCCTGCCCTGGGGCCCTTCTCCACACGCTGCCCCCCCAGCCTTCCCGCCGATACAGGAGGGAATGAAGGGCAGGCTCGACTGCCCCCACCTGGAGCGCAGAGCGACAGAGGGCTTCCTTGCACCCGGCGCCACGCGCCCCTCAGCCCCCGTGGGGCAGACAGCCTGGCCTGAGGTGTGCACGGGGGTCCCTGCCCCCTGGCCACCACCCCGCCCCAGCACCACCAGCGTCCTGCTCCAGGCGGGGCAGGGTCTGCCAGCCCCACACCGGCCCTCTGGACAGTCAGCCCCCCAGCCGCTGCGGGGCAGCAGCTGGGAAGGAGCAGGGGAAGGGGCGCCCGGGAACTCTCTCCCTCCCCGCCCGGATGCCCCCCCCGCAGGAGCCAGAGCAGGGGCGCGAAGCGCTGCCAGACCCCCCCCCGCCCCCCAGGCCAAACCGCACGAGGAGGCGGCACGGCCGGCTCGCCTTGGCCGGCGCCGCATTCCTCTGGGGATTTGACTCCGCTATTCTTAGCCGTGTTTGTGTGAGGGCTGAGGGCGGCCGGGGCGGAGTGGCCAGCGGGCGGCCGGACAGGCGTGCGGGTGGGTGGCGGGGGGCAGGCGCACTCCCCCAGGGCCGCCCGGGGGGCCCTGGCCGGGAGGAAGCGGAGGGCCAGCCCGGCCCAGGGGGTGGGGAGTGGCGGCGCCTTGGGCTTGCCTGTGTGCGAGGGGTGCGGGCCGGGAGGCCTCCTGCCCGCCCGCCCTTCTGCCAGCTCCTGCCAGCTGCTCGGATGGATCCGGTGCCTGGGGCTGAGGAGGCTCCCTCCCCGGCTCGGCTGGGCTCGGCTAACTGGCCGGACTGGTTCCCATTCGCGCTCGCGAAGTTCATGCCCCGGTGCCCCCCACCCGCACGGAGTTAACCAGTGGGGTGCCGGGCGTCTGGGGCCACCCTGGCCTCCCACCCCCCTGCCACGGGGGGCCTGAACTGTGGGGAGGCCCAGCAGCGCAGAAAGAAGCTTGGGGCGCCGAGCCCTCGGGCAGGAAGGTCGCTTGCTCTGCCCCCGGGTCCGTGCCTCTGCTCATGCCCTGAGGAGGGGCGGCACTTTGCGCACTCTCAGAGGCACTCTTCTTCTGGGCCAGTCTTACCGGGTTTGAGATGCCCCCGTGGCAGTCACGGGGGGCAGCTGTGCTGCCCCAGCCCAGGCGCCGGTGGAACAGTCCCTCGGACCCGCTCCGGGCACTGCGTGGAGCGCAGGGAGGAAGGGGGAGCACCGCCTGGCGCGGGCCCTGGGGGCAGCCTGAGCAGGACGCGGTGTCTGGGGCCGTCCCCCTGGGGGCCGGGTCGCCTTAGGCGGGGGCCCCACGGGGGCGCCTCCGGAGGGCCCCCAGGCCCCGCGCTGCCCCGTCCCCGCACCTTCCGGCAGGGTGGGGCCGGGCCGGCCGGCTCCCCTCCCCTCCCCTCCCTGCGCCAGCACCTTGCGCTGCCTTACGCAATGCCTTGGGCTCCTGCCCAGTTTCCGCAGCGGCCTCTCCGCCCCCTGGCATTCCCCTCCCGGGCGGCCGGAGCTGGCACAAACAGGGTGGCAGGCAGAGAAAGGGCCCTTTGTGCCCCCCTCCCCGCCCCCCACGTGCTGCTGCGCAGCCGGAGCCAGAGGAGGCCGGGCGGGGGGGGGCAGGGGACTCTGCGGGGGGGCAGCCGCTTCTCTGCCCGGCCCCTCTGGGGGATGCGGCCAGAGGGGCTTCTGGGGCAGGATCCTGGGGGGCGGGGGCGGGGCAGCTGGCGGAAGTGCCGAGCAGGTGCCCCCCGCTGCTGCCTGGCCCGGTTCCCGGGAGCGGTGGCGGCGTCCGGCGCGGGGGACCGGGCGCGTGCAGAGCGCCCAGCCAATGGCCGTGCAGAGGGGGCCGCCGGCTGGGCACGGAGATGGCTATTTATGCGGAGCCGGGGCGCACGCCGGGCGCTGCCACCCTCTGCCCTCCAGCACAGCCCTTCCCAGCCCGGATCCTGCGCCAGCCCGCCAGCGGGGTCCCCGTCGCCATCGCTCGCCCGCGGGAGGGACCCCGCGGGAGGCGGCGGCAGGCCCATGCGGGCGCTCGGACCGGGGGAGGACGACTCCCGCGGTTGGGGGCAGCGAGAAGAGGCGCCCCGGGAGTGGCGGAGCGGGGGGGCCCGCCGCTGCCCCGCTGTGGGGCCGGAGCCGCCGCATGGAGCCGGCGGGGGGGCCGGGAGTGCCGACTGGCGCCGGGCCCATGTCGCCGGGCCCCCCGGGGGTGTCCGTCCGGGCGGTGGTGGAGGCCTTTGAGTCCCGGCGGGAGCCGCGCGGCTGCGGCTGCTGCCTGCTCCCCGCCGGGGGGGACCCCCTCCGTCCCCGGCAGCGGGGCTGCACCTCCCCGGCCCTGTCCAGGGAGCCGTCCCCTGCCCGGGCCCGGCCACGGGAGGCCCCAAGGGGGCCCAGGAAGCCGGGCGGCCGGAAGAAGGAGGTGGACAAGACCCTGGTCTCCCTCCTGCTTGTGCTCCACAGGTAGCGGGGGGCTCAGGAGCGGGGGAAGCGGGGCAAGGAATGGCGGCGGGATGGGGGCAGCAGCGCGGGGGCGACCGGCCGGAGTCAGGAGCGTGGGAACCTTGGCGGGGGCGCCGGGAGGCCCCGAGGCTCCTTGGCGACCCCTCGGCCTCCTCGCCAACCTCACGGGGCTGAGGAAGAACAGCAGGGCACTCTGCACGCAGCCCCTGGTGCTCTTGGGCAGGGCAGACGGCCGAGTGGAGGGGAGGCAGGTGGAGCGGGAGCGGCCGGGAGGGCCCCCAGACCGGCCGTGGCAGCCAGCGGGCTCCGGGCAGGGCGGCTCCGGGTCTGGACCGGCCTTCGGGGATGCCAAGGGTGCCGGCCGGAGCAATGTGTCTCATGCGGCCGCGAGGGAGGCGGCCTGCCGTGCCCCACCCGGGTGTGGGGCTGCTTCCATGCCCCACAGGGCTCTGCCCGTTTCCCATGTGGTGACGTGCTTCGACTGGGGCAGCGGGAGGGCCCAACGCCGCCCGTCCGAGGCAGGGGCTGGGGTCGGGCGGCCTCGAACCCCATCCATGGGGCGGGAACCCCCCACCGCTCGCCTCTGCAGGCGCCACTCCGAGGGGCTCTGACGGCCTTGCAACACGGGGGTCTTTGGAGACGGGCCCCCCAGGGCACTGGGTGCCTTTTCGTGGGGCCGGCCGTGGGTTCGGGGGGGGCGCGCGAAGCAGGCACGGGTGGGCAGGGCGGAGGGCGCGGGCGGCAGCCCCGCTGCACCCTCTGAGGGCCGTCCGTCGTCTGTCTGTCTTTCCCACAGCGGGACCAGCAGCAGCAGCATGATCGCCATCGACAACAAGATAGAGCAGGCCATGGTGAGTCTGGGGGGGGCGGCACACGCCCCGGGCAGCGCTCCGGCCACCGGGTGGGCCAGGGCCCCTTCGCCCCACGGCCCCCACGCCCGCTCGGATACCCCCTCCCCTTGCTGGGGGCTCCGCTCGGCCTGCACCAGCAGTGATGCCCGTCCGCACGCTTGCCCCGGGTTGGAAGCCTGGCGCTCCAGCGATCGCTGCCGGCCGGGCCGGGCCGGGCCGGGCCGGGCCTTGTGTGCCCGAGGGCCCCTCCTTCTGGCCCCCCGGGGCCTCCCCCAGCGCGCCTCTGCCCCAGCGGGAGCAGCCCGGAGACGGCCCGCCTGCTCGGGGGCAGAGGAGGCCCCGTGCCGGTCGGCCCGCGCCCCTGCTGTGCGGCACGGAGGGCCACCCCGGCCCCGCCGGGCCCCCGGGCCTCACGCGCCCCTCTGCCGCAGGACCTGGTGAAGAGCCACCTGATGTTTGCCGTGCGCGAGGAGGTGGAAGTCCTGCGGGAGCAGATCAAGGAGCTGACGGAGCGCAACGCCCTGCTGGAGCGGGAGAACGCGGTGCTGCGCTCGCTGGCCAACGGGGAGCAGCCCGCGCGCCCCCAGGCCCGGCCCCCGCCCGCCCGGCCCCCCCCCCAGCGGCACCGCCTGACCCTCCGGGGGCCGGGGGCCGAAGGACACGGGGGGCTCGCCGGGGGATTCCCACAGATGTGAACCGCTGGCAGCTCGGCGCCGGCGTCGCTGGAGGGGGCGTGGATGAGTGCGTGCATGAAACCAGCCTTTGGGGGGGCGGGGGGTGGGGGGAGAAGGGGTCTACTAACCACAGCATGTGCCTTTAGCTGGTGGAATCACAGCCTGGTTTTACCCCCCAGCTCTGGGTGTCGCGGGAGCTTTTGTGGAGGATGCGCCGCGGTCGGGGAGGGGGCTTTGTCGGGGCTTGTGGAGCGGCTGCGCGCAGGTGGGGGGCCCCCACGTCCCCAGCGGCCGGGCTGAGCACCCCGGGGGCTCTCTGGGAAGGGGCGGCGCTCGAGGTGCCCCGGCACGAGTGGGGAGCGGGGGCGCAGGCAGGGGCAGACGGAGCTGGCAACCATTTTATATTGAGGACACTTTTGCAGTATTTCAGGTCATTAAAGTACGAAATGGCTGCGGCCGCTCGGCGTGTCGTGTGGTTTTCTGGGGGCCCGTGAGCACGCAGGGCTGGAGGAAGCGGCTTGGGCAGCACCCCTCGTGGCCGCTCGGAGCCACCCCTGGCAGGGCCCGCCAGCGAGGGCAGGTGTGGCGGGGGGTGTCTCGGGAGGCCGCAGCGGACTCCAAGCGGGCGAGTGAGGCCCGCCGGGGAAATGCCCCCTGCTGCCCCCTGGCCAGCTTCGGAGAAGGAGCGCTGCGCCCCGTCTGCCCCACGAGGCGGCTGCCTCCCGGCCCTGCGCCGCTCCGGCTGAGGGGGGACCCGGACAAAGGCGTGGGCTGGCAGGGCCCGTGGGCTGGTGACTGGGGCCTTTGTGCCGCTGCTCCGTGGCCCCTCCTCACGGGATCGCCATGCCCCCGCCACGCTGGGACGCGCAGGAGCGATCCCCCGCTCGCCGGGAAAGCACGTGCTCCGGCGTGTGGCGCTGCGCTGCAGAAGTGTCCGGTTGCGCCTGGCAAGTCCATGCAGCAAAGCCTTTGCGGTCCTTGTGGCCCGGAAACGGACCCCGGCCTCACACCCCACGCCCTCCGCACCCGGAAGACTGCGGAATGACGGCCTCCGGAGGAAGGAATGCCGGAAGCATTTGCTGCCCTCGCCGGAGCCCCGGGGCAGCCGAGGGGCCCGGAGCCCGGCCAGCCCCTCTCGCCTCCGGGCACGGCAGGGGAGCCGAGCCCCGGGAGAGAGGGCCCCCCCCCCCGGCCAGGACAGCAGGCCCCCAGGCAGCCCCCGCCCGTGCTCGGGCGGCCCCCCCCGGCCCACGGAGGCTTCCGCCGCGGTGCCCCCGGCAACCGCCTGATTCCGGGCCTCGGAAGCGCCATGAGGCCCGCTGCGCTCGCCCTGCTCCTGCTGGCCTGCGGCTCCACGAGCCATGCCCAGCCCAAGCGGCGGCGGGTGGGCGAACCGGGCCCCGCACAGAAGGGGCCGCCGGAGCACAGCTGCCCCTGCGGCCCCGGGGACCGGGCGCCGGCCGACCTGGACTGCCTGCCCCTGCTGCTGCCCTGGGCCCTGCTCCTGGCGCTCTCCAGCTCCTGCACCGTGTACCTGCTCTTCTCCAGAGGACGCGGGGTGAGTGGCCCCACTGGCTGCCGTGCCAGGCCCCGGCCGGCCCCCCCGGGACGCAGGCTGCTCTCGTGTCCTGGCGGGTAGCATGCCCGCCTGCGGTGGCTCAGCTCGGCCCGGCCCGGCCCAGAAGCGCGCTCAGCTGGCCACCAGCACAGCTGCCTGCAGAGACGCATCCCTGGGGTCAGCCACACGCCGCCTGGAGGGGCCCTTCCGCCCGCCCGCCTCCAGCAGACGACCGAGCCTGCCGGGGGCCGGTGAGGAGGGCGCCCGCAGCCCTCCGCCCCCTCCCTCCTTAGCCTGGTGTCCCCCCCAGCTGGGCCAGGCAGCCATCTGTGCCAAGCAGCGCCCCCATCCTGCTGGCCGGGGTTCTGGCGGCTTTGCCCAACGCATTTGGAGGCAGCAGGCCGTGGGGGCTCGCCCACCCCGTAGGGCGGAAAGGGCGCAGCCTGCCCCTTGGTGCCGGAGGTCAGACTAGATGGCCCGGGAGGCCCCTTCTGACTCGCACTGTTTTCTATGTTTCCTCTGGGGCAGCTGCCAGGGTGCTCCGGGGCCCCCCGCACAGAGTGGGGCAGGCCATTCGGGGGAGGAAAGGGTGGGGTGGGATGCGCAAGCTGCTCGTGGGGGCGCCACACCCGGAAGCCTCCCCTCCGCACCCCAGATGCTGGGACTCTCTCCAGGCAGCCAAACTGCTACTCTGCACATGCTTGGAGCAAAGGAAGCCCCTTCCGGTCTCAGATCTGCGCTGAAACCCAGGCTCTGTCCCTGGTGCAGATCACAAAAGGTGCATTCTGCACATGTGCAGATGCACAGCAGAAGTGCTTCCTGCATGCTTAATTGTATCCAAGGCCCAAGCCGAGTCCTTGCGTCCGTCTGGGGCTGAACTCCGGGGAAGCCAGAACTGGACAGGGCCGCGGGCCCCAGGGCCCAGGGGCCAACTCTGCCCTTCCGTCTGCACATGCCCAGGGCCCTGTCGAATGGCTCTGCGCATGCGTGTGTGGCAAACTCTGTGCTTCCGCACACAGGGAGCAGGCACGGGCCTGGACCCGGAGGCCCTGCCGGAGGAGGTCTTGCTGTGGAACATCCGCCTGGGCCTCCACGTCATCTACCACCAGCTGTGGCACATGGTATGCTCCAGAAGGAAGCGGCAGGGCCGGGGTGTGTCGGCAGCCTGAACGGTGCTCAGAAGATGCGCCCCGTCAGGGCAGCACATGACCTGCTGTGCAGGGCGAATCCCTGCCGGCCGGGGGTCCTGCGGATGGGGAATAAAGGGGAGCGGAGGGCCACGTCTGGGGTGCTGTTTTGTCACCGGCGCGCTCGGCATTCCCTGGCTGCTTCGTCGCCATCACCGGCAAAACGAGGATCATGCGCGTGGCGAGAGCAGGAGCAGCGATGTGAGGTCACATTCTGCTGCAAAAAGGGTCCTGACGCGATTTACAGGCCCAGATGTGGAACTCCATACATGATTTTTGGCAGGAAACGCCCAACCGCAGTATGAATCCTACCTGGCACATTAACAGAAGTGCCGTAAAATAAACTTTGAGAATCTCCCACAGACACACAAAACCTCCCTCCCACGGCTCTTTACAGCCTCGAGTAAATGCCACGAAAACAGCGTCCACACTGGGTTGCCCCAAGGACCATGTGCCGGGAGAATGAGCCACCTCTGGGGCGTCCTGGGGGGACCTTCCTGACCCCTGGGGGCCCCCCAGTGACCACGTGGGCTGGTGGGTGCGCAGGGGGCTCCGAAACTGGCAGCGTGCACACGGGCGGCTTGCGCAGGGGTGCCGGCCCACCGCCCGGCGGACGAACGCGGCACTCGCTGCGGGGTCCGACCCGTTTCCAGAGGCAGCCCGTGGGCGACCCGAGAGTACGCGACCACGAGGGCCGGGACAGGGCCACCAGCCCAACGCAGCCCGTGGAAGGTGCCCAAGCTGCCGTAGCCCCGAGCCTCCGGCGACGGCCGTGCCCCCGGAGGCCCCCAAGCTGCCCACCTGCCGGCGCGGCCCCCAGCCGGCTGCGGGCCCCAGCCCCTGCTCTGCAGCCACGGGAGCCCACGCCAGCGCAGCCCCTGCGACGGAGGGCCCGGCTGCAGGTTGCCGAGCCGCCGCTTCGTCTGCGGTCTGGAGTCGTTTAGTCTGCGGGAGCCTCCGGAAACAAACAGGGCGGCTATCTTTGGAACCCTGTCATTGTGCCATCGCTTGCCGGCAGCTTCCCGGAGCGTGCAGGCCAGGTGCCGCTCGGGGCTCAGCCATGGGCACCCCGGCGGCCCGCTGGCAGGAGGGCACTGCGGCCGCTGCGGCTCCGGCCCTTCCTTGCTCTCTTGCATTTCCCTGCTCGGCCGTCCCCGAGGAGGTGGGGATGGCGGGCAGGCGGCGGCCGGGGGACACGGAGGTGCTCCAGAGCAAGGGAGGTTTTGCTTGGGAGCAGGTTCCTGCCAAGGCCTGACGAAATGGAAGCCGCCTGGGGAGCAGGCCGCGCAACCCTGGAAAGGTGTTTCTCGGGGAGGGATTAGTCCATTGGGCTCAGTTCATTTGTTCGGTACTCCTTCATTTGCTAAATTCTATTGAATGAAAAGCTGCGCGCCCTGAAGAAGCAAAGCTGGGAGCCCCACGCAGGTCTTAAACTTCCCAGCCTTGCGCAGCCAGGACTTTTTAGTCAAAACACGCCTAGGATTGTGAAGAAGATCCGTTATTGCCCAGCCACTCAGAAGGAAGCCCACTCAGCACAGCGAGCGCCGGCACAGTCCTGCAGCCAAGGGGTGGGGGAGGCAGCCCCCGCGAGCCCTGCCCTGCGCAGCGGGCCCGGCCCGGATCGCGGCAGCGCGGGCCCCTCCTCCGGGGACCGGGAAGAAACGCTGCCGCAAGTGCAGGGGCCAGTGGGCGACGCGGGGGCCGCGGCCGAGGAGCGCCCTTCGCGGCTTCGGCCGGCACGGCCTCAGCCTGGCCCACCTCGCAGGGCCGTTGTGAGGGTGGCGCGGCGGGGGCGCGCAGGCAGCCGCGCGGCGCCCTTGCAAGGGCAGGAGCGGTGGGAGACCCGGCCACGGGCCGGACCCCGCCCCCTCCGTGCCGCCTCGGGGCCGCCGTGCCGGGCTGGCCGCACAGGGATGCGCCCGGACGCGCGCCCCTCCGTCTCCGGGGCCTCATGACGCGGCGGACTACGGCCCCCATGATGCCCCGCAGGCAGGCAGCTGGCGCGCGTTCTGCGCTTGCGCCAGGCCGAACGACCGGCGCCTGGGCGGCGCATGCGCCCTCGGTGCTCCCTTCCCAGCGGCCCTCGGGACGTGCCGCCTGGGCAGCCCCGCATCCGCGCTCGCGCTCCCGCCGCCGACGGCCCCGCGCGAGGACGCGGCGCGCCCCCTCCCCCGCCCCCGCCGCCCGAGGCCCCGCCCCTTTCCGCGCTCCGCTTCTCCGGCGCCGGGAGATGTGATGAGGAGCCCGGAGCGGGTGAGTCACGTGGGCCGCGTGCTCGTGCGCGTCACGTGGAACCGTGTTCCGGGGGGTCGCCGGGCGCGCGCCGCAGAAGGAGGCCCCGAGCGGGTGGAAGCGCCGCGCCGCGCCGCCCCAGCCCGCGGGGCTCCCGTGCTCGGCGGCTGCGCGAGGGCGCCCGGCGGGGGGGCCGGGCCCGAGGGCGGAGGCTGCGCTCGGGGGGGCGTCTGGCTGGCCCTCCGTCCTGCCCGCCCCGCGGCCAGCCGCCCGTCCGCCCGCAGCCTCCCTGCCCGCGGTTCCCTCCTCGGTGCTGGGGGCCGGTGCGCAGGGAGCGCTTCCGATGCCCCGGAGCCCCGGACCTCGGGGCCTTTCGCCAGCTGGAGCACGGGCGCAGTCGAGGAGCAGCTCGCCGTGCGACACGGGGGAGCCTAAACGCTGCACGGGGGTCCCCGGCGTCTCTTGGAGGCAAATTCGTGAGCCCCGGGGGCACTCTCACAACACGGTCGCACTGGCTCTGGAGGGCTGCTCGCACAGCCGCCCCGTGCCAAAAGGCAGATGCGGGTTCCGACGACAACCGATCTGCTCCAGAACCCGAATACAAGCCAGGCCAGGGCTAAGCCCTGGGACGAAAAGAGCCCTTTCGCTCCCAGAGACGAGTGGCGCTGGAGGGCAGCCCTCTGTTTTGTGGCGTCAGTTTCCAAAATCGTTGTGGGTTTAACAAGTCTTGAAGGAAAGACTGGGGCCAGGAGCTGGGCGGGCCTCGGGAGAGGAGTCCGAGGGGCCCCCGGGAGACCCCTGCCGGAAAGCAGTGCTGTGCCTGGTGGAGGCCCTGCGAGAGACGCTTGGATCGGGCATTAGGTTAAGTAGGCCAGTATGGCAAGCCAGAACAAATAAAAGCCGACAACCTACAAACATTTCCAATCCCCTGCACTCCAAATATCCTCTTGGCCACGGAAGGCTATTCAGAGGTCGGAAAGAAACCCCTTTGCCCGCGTGGGAGGTGGGCGGGCGGGCGGGCGGGGGGGGGGCGCCTGGCCCGGAAGCCTCTGGCCCGGTTGCCGCCTCGAGCTCTGCTTCTGCTCCCTCGCTCTGTGGACGGACGGTGCAGAGACGTGGGGTGGGGTGGGGTGGGGTTTCACGACGCCTCCCTCCCCCCTTGGGCCTCTGCCAGGGACACCGATCGGGCTGCCTGCCACGAGCTGCGGTCAGGAGGCCCTCGGGGGGGGGGGGGGGGGCGGGCGGCAGAGGGCCAAGGAGGGGGTGTGCGGCTGCTCAGGGGCTGTGGGGCGGCCCGGGCTCTCGGGGGACAGGGCGTGTGGGGAGCGTGCGGCTGGGGGCAAAGCGAAGGAGGGGCAAATGGGGGGGCGGACAGGGACCCCCCGTCTGGGCCACGGCACCTGAGGGACGGTCCTGGCGCTGCTGCGCCGCTCCGGCGGGGGCGTCTCAACCAGCGTCTCTTACTGTTCCTTGGGGAATGTTTCTGTCTTGGGGCTGGAGGGGGTCCTGCTGTGCTCACCCAGGAGGGGTGCAAAGTGAACCCCTTTGGGCGCTGCGACTTCCGTTGGAAGGCTCCGGGCCTCTTCATGGCTGTGGGGTGCAGTGGGCGCAGGCGGGCCATTAAACAAGAGAATTTACTAAAGGGAAACTTGGCCCCTGAGGCAGGATGAAGAATTCTGTGGGGGTTTCAGAGGGCTGCCCAGGGGCAATTCCGGGGGTCCAAAGAGCCCGTCGCTGCTGCACATCCCTTAAATCTGCTCCAGGGTCCCCCAGCTGCTCAAGGGACCCCTCCACCGGTGCCCAAGAGCCACCTGCTGGGCCGGCTGCGGTAGCCTGTTCGGGCAGCCACGGCACCCCCGCTGGCCTGCGTCCCCCTCCCTCAAGCAACAAAACTATGGGCTTTGCCGCCACGGGATGTGGCCACCGCTGCAGGGGGCGGCTTTAGGAGAGGCTCGGCCTTCTCTTCTGCCATGAATTTGTCCGCCGATGGCTGGGTTTACGGGACAAGCGCCCAGTGATGACAACACACAGTTGCCGGTTGCATTGTCCAACTCCACTCGCGGTGCTGTGGCCTGCCGCCGCCGTCCTCAGCCACCGCGACGCAAGCGGGCTGCTCTGGGCTCGCTCTCCACCGCGGTCGCTCGTGCTCTCTGCCCGTCCCTGCCGGGCGGCTCGTCCCTGCCGGCCCTCTCGCCCCTCCGGCCCCGCAAGGAGCCCGGCGAGGCCGAGCGCAGGCGCCCGCGGACCCCGGCCTGCGTGCCGGGCCCCACCTGGCCTGCACGCACGCGGGTGCGTCAGGCCTCCGAGCTGCGAGGCCCTCCCCGGAAAGCCCAGGTGTCCTGGCACGGGGATGCAAGCCGCGCGGCACGGCCCAGGGGAGCGGGTGGGCCCCCAGCCCCAGCCCCAGCCCCAGCCCCAGCCAACTGCCGCATCCCCGCCCGGGGGACCAACCGTCGCAGCTGCCGCAGCCGCTCCCACAAACCGGCTCCCCCCACCCTGTGAGGAGTACGCGGCTCCCAGGACGGGTGGGGAGGGCTCTCGGCAGGGTCCCGTCCCGGCTGGGGGGGGCGAGTGGCAGATTCCTCTGTTGGGGCTCCCCTCCCGGGAGGGGCCTGGCGGTCTTGGGCCCGCCGTGCTGGATGGGGCTTTCCTCGGGCTGTGCCTTCTTGCCTCCCCCGACCCCCCGCTTCAGGCTGCGTGGGGCTGCAGGCGTATTGCTCAGGCAGTGCCGGGGACGGCTGGTCGTGTGGCTCCCGGGCACCCTCGTGGGGGCGGCTGAGCCAGAGAGAAGCCTGGGGCGGAACCGGGGGGCCTCTGGAAGCTTTTGGGGGACAGGGAGCCCCAGTGGTGCCCCGCTTTTGCTCCGTGAGGTGCCCCAAAAGCAGGCACTCCCTGCTGGTCACTCCTTCCCGGCCGAGAAATGAGTCCCTTGCTCGAGGGGCTGGGTCTGCGGGGTAGGGGCTTCGGGGGGCTTTGGGCTGCCCTAACCTGCCCTGCCCACCTGGGCATCCTCGGGGCACCGAGGGCGGGCACGTGGGCTCCCGGCCTTCCTGCCTCACCCGGGAACGTCTTCCTTTTCCTGGCACCTGGGTGACCCTGACCCTAACCCAAAGCAAGCCTGGGCGCAGGCGCCCTCGTGTGCTGCGAGCCAGGCTGGTCCTCCCCCAGGCAGAGGCTGTCCTGCCGGCCCGGAGGGCACAGGCCGTAGCCCCATCGCAAGACGGGCGGCCCTGAGAGAAACCAGCGGAGGCACCGAGGGTGCCGCGGACCTGCGCCTCGGCCGGGTCCGGGGGTGCGGGCACAGCACACCGTCGAGCGTCCAGCGGGAAGGGGCAGTGCCAAGGATGGCCGCCGGTCCCCCCTCCGGTCTCAGCCAGGACCGACCTCGCTTAGCTTAGCTTAAACGACTCAGCAGGATCGGGCGCTTCCGGCATCGCAGGAGCCGCGGGTGGCCCCTTGCTGGAGAGGCAGCCGTGGCGCCCCCCCCTGCCCCCCCGGGCCGCCGGAGGGTTGGCGCAAGGCAAGAGGCACCGAGCTCCCGTGCCGGCTTCAGACGTGCCCCCCGCCCCGGCTGTGCTCCCCCAGAAGCAGGCAGCCTGCAGTGGAGCGTGGGCTTTGTTTGCCCAGCAGTCAAGGTGCTGCTGAAACCTGTCTGGCTGGAAATACTGAGGTGGGGCCGCCTCCTCCCCCCCCCCCCCCCTGCAGCCCCCCAGCGCACTCCCGTGAAATCCTTTGTTGCTCACCTGTTCGGGAACAGTTGCCAGGTGTGTGTGTGGGGAGGGGGAGGACATGTTCAGGCAAGGGCCCTAGGTACTTACCTGTACTTTAGAGTTGTTTCAGGCCATCAGTGAGGGTGATGCCCCCCCCCGGCAGCGTGTGAGGGGGGAGCGCTAGAGCAGGTGCCCTGCAGATGGAGGCAGCGGTGCCGATCGGGAGCGGCTGTCCGAGTTCGGGGGGGTCTCTGGAGCTCTCCCAGAAAGCAGCCCTGAAGGGCCTGGTGGGCCCCGATGGAGGCTGGTCCCGGAGGTGTGGGGCCACAGCTGGGGGGACCCTGCCAGTCCCCCCAGTGCAGCCGGGCTGGGGCGGCGGGGCCTCCGTCAGGGAACTTGGGCAAACCGTCGGAGGCTGCGGGGGCTCCCCAGCCCTCCTTACACGTGGGGCCGGGCCAGCATCTGCCGCATGCCGACCAGGAAGGGCGGGCTCAGGGAGGCTTCCCTTCGGCACCTGGGGCCGAGCCGCAGGCGTGTCGTGCATCGTCCCCACGGGCCCACGCGACGAGCGGCCGCCTTGGCGTCGCTGCGCCTTCCTCCCCGCCAGGCCGCGGCCCGGTCAGCCGCCTGCCCACTGGGCGGCCGGCACCACCGTGCTGGGAGCCGTGGTGGGAGGGGGCACAAGGCTTCAGCGAGGAGTGGAAATGGCCGTGCCGTGCCGTGCCGGCCGCGCTCCTTCCACCGCCCTTTCTCGCTCCCCCAAAATAGGCCGGCTCGGCCACGTAGCGGTCGTGGCTGGCTGTGCCACCCCCGGAGCCGTGGCCTGAGGTCCGTCGGTGGTTGTGGCACAGCCCTCCCTCCGTGTGCCTCTGTGCCGGAAGGGTGTGCCGCCCTCTTCGTCGCATTTCGGGGCCCCCGGGGCCGAGTCGCTCCTCGTTCTTTACTTACACGCCTCGTCTTACCCGGCTTCTCCGGCACGATGGCCGGCAGCGGTAAAGTACCGATCGAAAGAACATCCTCATCGAAACGTGGGAGACGAGTCAGTTGGGCACAGCCTGGAGGAGGGGCCCACGCTCAGAGGGACCGGCAGCGTCCCTCCCTTTGCCCACTGGTGGAGGGCAGGGCAGGGCGGCAGAGGAGGTGCCCCGCTCGGCCGAGGGGCCAGGGCCCGGGAGCTGCCCCCAGAGGCTTCCCCCGCACGGGCCGTGGGGCCTTCCCAGGGCTCGGCCGGCTGTTCCCTGCTGGAGCGGCCCGGGGCCGCCCGGCGACTGGCTGGCCGGGGCCTGTGCCGGCGGGACGGTTGCCCCGGGGGTCACCGAGGCCGCTGCGGCCGGGCCGGCTCGTGGGGCCGGGGGGCTGCGACGGTCCCCGCCATCTCAGGTCGCCCTGCTGCCCGTGCACTCCGGCCGGGCGAGGCCGCGTGGCTGCGTGGAGCCCGCCGGGGCCGGGCCACACGCTCCCCGTGCCGTCCGCACGCGCGAAGCCGCCTGGCGAGCGGAGGGGGGCCCTGCTGCTTTCACGCCCCAAGCGCATCCTCCCCCTTTTCTCCCCCAGTTCCTGAGCAGGCTGCCAACCTCTCCTTTCTGGATGTGGCCCGTGGATCCGGGACCGTACAGCTGACACAGTGACAAAAGCTGCCGTGAGTTCCCCGCCAGGAGCCCTCCCGGAAGGAGCTGGCTGCCCATGGGCGTGTGGCGGGGGCAGGCTCCCCGCCCGTGGGGGGGGCAGTGGGTGGCGCTCGCAGCCGGGCCTGGCCGGTGCCCAGCGAGGGGGGCCGGGGGCAGGGAGCGGTCTGGCCAGCCCCGGCTCGACTTGCGGGCCTGTCGGGCTGGCCCAGCCACATGGGCCGGAGGGAAGGCCCGCGGCATGGCCCCCCACAAGGAGCAGTCCCGGGTGCCTCCCTGCGGCCACCCTCTGCTGTGAGGGCCCACCAGATAACGGGCGCTCTCCCCCCCAGGCGCGTGGAGGTGGGGTAGGTGTGTGACCCACAGGAAGGAGACATGGAGAGAGCGAGCAAGGCCTACGTGAACCGGGACGAGGAGGACGAGATGGTCAGTGCGCGGGGGTGGCAGGCATGCGCTCGCGTGCGATTTCGCCCTCGTGGCTCGCACCGCAGCGCCGCCTCTCGGTCCCGGCCCAGGCCCCGCTCGGCCGGCGGATCCCGGCGTGGCGGAGGAGTCCCCGGGGGGGTCCTGGGGGGCCACCTGACCGAAACCTCAGAGGGAGGGCTGCGACTGCCCCCTGTGCCGGCGGGGGCTGGTCCCTCCCCCAAGCCGGCTGCCCTTGGTCCCTCGTCCTCCGTGGGAGGGCCTCCCTCTGCAGGGAGGGTTCGGGCGGCCCCCACGTGCCCCAGTCAGGCCCCCGGGAGGGCCCCCGGCCTGACCCCCCTCTCCCCGTGCAGGAAGTCTCTGGCTACAGCCCCTGCTGCTGGAAGCTGGCGCTGGTTGTGCTGGGCACCGTGTGCAGCGGCGGCTTCCTCCTCCTCTTCCTCTACTGGCTGCCCAAGCTGAGCGTCCGGTGGACCTGCAGCTCCGTGCCCCTGCGGGACGCCCGGGTGCTCCTGCTGCGCACCACGGTAGGGGCGCCCCGCGGGGCCCGAGGAGGGCCGGGCCAGGGCTCCAGGGAGGCCACGTCCGCCCCCCTCGCCTCGTGCCCCGGCCTGCCGCTGGCCTGGCTTCCAGCGCACGCCGGGCTTCCCGGGAGCTGCTTCCCGGGCCGCTCTTAACGAGGCGGGAGAATCCGGGGCTCCCCCACCCCCGGTAGCTCAGCCTTCCGTGTGCCGTGTCCCCTCCTGCTCTGAGCAGGCTTTGGGCGTTCGTGGCCGTGGACGGGCCTCGGCCGGGGAGGAGCGGTGGAGGGGTGAGGCTTGACTGGGAGGGGGCGGCCCCTGCCCCTGCCCGCTTCATGGGCCGCCTGGGAGCGGCTGGCTCACCGGGGGGGCGGGGCCGCGAGGTGCTCTGGGGCCAGTGCCGACCCGGCAGCCTTCGGCGACCTGCGGAGCTGCCTCCGCCGGGAAGCAGGCTTTGCCAGCCCGTGCCGATCCTTCCCCCGCAGGACCAGTTCCGGACATGGTCCAGGGCCCGGGTGGCTTCCTTCTTGGCCCCCGGCTCCGACCCCCTGGGCTTCCCGCAGCTGCCCGAGAGCCGGAGGCCCCTCTGCCAGGCCGGCCAGCCGGAGGACTGGGACTGCGAGGAGGGGCTGCTCTCCCAGCCCGCCAGCGGGGAGCAGGTGGAGGTGAGCCGCGGACAGGAAGGGCCCGCCGTGGGCCGCGGGGTCGAGCCCGGGGGGGAGGGGGCAGGCGCCTTCCGGAAGGGCGAGCCCTGCTGGGACGGGGGCCGCCCCCCACTCACGCCTCACGCCTGCAGATCCGGTGTTTCGTCCATCACAACGCACGCTACCTCTGGAGTGCCGAGTCCCAGGCCTTCCGGCGGCTCCGGGCCCTGGAGGTGGGGCAGCCGTGCTCGGCCCTGCACGCCGTCCACGGATCCGGCCTCCCCCGCAGCAGCCAGGACTACCGGTGAGGGGCTGGCCCGGGCCCGCGGCGGGGGGCGGGCTGGGGAGGGGGAGCCGCCCCGCGGCCCGATCCTGAGCGCGCCGGCTGCCCTGCTGTCCCCAGGAGGCTGTTCTTCGGAGCCAACCAGATCGACGTGCGTGTGCCTCCCGTGCCCAAGCTGCTCGTCAAGGAGGTGAGTGCGGGCGCCCGGCGGGCAGCCTCGGCCGGGCATCGGTGGCCGCCCTCTGGCGCCGGGGGCCCTCCGCTGAGCGTGGCTCTCGCCCCCGCAGGTGCTGAACCCCTTCTACATCTTCCAAGTCTTCAGCATGGTGCTGTGGTCGCTGGACAACTACTGCCTGTACGCGTCGGCCATCCTCTTCATGTCGCTCGTCTCGGTCTGCTCCTCCCTCTACACCATCCGGAAGGTACCGCGGCGGCAACGGGGTGGGTCTGGGGGGCCGGGCGGGCACGGGGGCAGCCGGAGCGGTCCTGCGCCCGGGGGGACGAGCGGCCCCCGCCTGCAAGGGGGTGGGGATCGGCGCATCCCTTGCGCCAGGGGACGTCTGGGGACCGCCCCGTCCTCCACCGGGCTGCCCTGGGGTGAGGATGTGGGGCTGGGAGAGGCTGCCAGCATTCCGGCTGCGCCCCCCGCCGGGCACCGGGGCAGCCATGGGCGCTCGGCCAAGGACAGGGGCGACCATGCTGGGGTGCTGCAGCCCGCTTGGCCCCGGATCGGACGGGCCGGGCTGGGCTGGGCTGGGCGGTCGCGTATGCGAGTCGCTCGCCTGGGGGCTCCGCTGGCCAGAGCGCGAGGCACAGGGGCTGATCCTCTGTGCCCCGGCCTGGCTGCCGCTGCTGCCTTGCGAGCTGCCCCGGGCGGGCCCCCATGGTGGGGCGAGCCCGGCGCGGTCACGCACGCCCCCCCGTTTCCCTTGCTCTCCTCGCGACAGCCCTGTGAGGTGGGCTGCTTCAAGTCCCCGTGGGCTTCGTGGCCAGGCAGGAGGCGGAATCCGGAGCCGGCTCCCCGGGAACCAGGCCCGCCGGCGCTCCTCCGGGCGTAACCCCCTTCCTTCTGTCCTTCCTTCCTTCCTTCCTTCCTTCCTTCCTTCCCCACAGCAATACGTCCTCCTGCACGACATGGTCGCCGCGCACAACATCATCCGGGTGACAGTGTACCGGGGGCCGTGCGGTGAGTGAGCGCGGGGGGCCCTGCAGCGAGCGATCCCTGGAGCGGCACCCCTCGCAAGCCGCTCTGGTCGGCCCGCCCACCGCCGTGCCCACCGGGCCTGGCGCCCTCCTGGCCGCTCTCCCCGGCAGCCACCAGGCCCCTCGCCGGCAGCCCCCTCGCCCCCTCGCAGCGTGTTTCGGGCACCTCGTGCGTGATGCACGCTGACCTCCAGGGGACCGGGCTGGCGCCCCCCTCCCCGTGGCCCTGCCAGGCGCCTCTCCCTGCCGCAGCCCCTCCCTGGAAACCCGCTGGCCCTTCTAAAGGTACATGGGGGGGCCGCCTGGGGGAGGGGCTGGAGCGGTGCATGTCCCTGGCCCCGGTTCAGCCATCCCGCGCATCTCGGGGGGGTCGTGGGGGGGAGTCCTCGACCTGCCCGAGACCTGGCTGCCTTCCGGGCGATGCCTGCAACCGGGAGGGGGGCGGCCTTCCCGCCTCAGCGTCCGGCTGGCCCCGGTCTGCAGCGCCCCCTCCGTGGGTCCGCTCCTCCCGCAGGGACCGAGGAGATCTTCTCGACGGAGCTGGTGCCCGGGGACGTGCTGCTGGTGCCGCCGGAAGGGCTGGCCGTGCCCTGCGACGCGGTGCTGCTGAGCGGCACGGCCATCGCCAACGAGAGCATGCTAACGGGTAGGGGCCGGGGGGCTCGGGGGGCGCTGGGGGTGGGAAGTGGGGCCTCCTCCCGCGAGCTGCACGCTTTCCCCCCAGGCGAGAGCGTCCCCGTGACGAAGACGGCGCTGCCCCGCCCGGCCCCGGGGCCCGGCCCGGACCCACTCTACGACCCAGAGGAGCACAGGCGCCACACGCTCTTCTGTGGCACAGCCGTCATCCAGACGCGGTTCTACTCCGGGGAGCCCGTCCGGGCGCTGGTCATCCGGACAGGTAGGGCAGGGCCTCCGTCGCCGGGCCGCGGGCGGGGGCGGGCCTTGCGCGCCGGCCCGGCTCAGTCCCTGCTCCCCGCAGGCTTCTCCACCGCCAAAGGGCAGCTGGTCAGCTCCATCCTGTTCCCGAAGCCGACGGGGTTCCGCCTCTACCGGGACGCCTACCGCTTCCTCCTCTGCCTGGTCGGCGTGGCCGGCGTCGGCATGCTGTACTCCGTGGTCCGCAGCGTGCAGCAGGCGGTGAGTCCCTGGCCGGGGGCGGGCGGAGGCGCCCCCCGGGGCGTGTGTGGAGGGGGCCCCTGCGGAGGGGGCGAGGCGGGTGTGGCCCGGAGCCTCTGGGCCGGCCGCCGGTCCAGCGGCGCGCCGGCAGCCCCCGCTCTGCTTCCTCCCGCCCGCCAGGAGCCGGTGGGCCGCATCGTTCTGGAGTCCCTCGACATCCTGACCATCACGGTGCCGCCCGCGCTCCCGGCCGCCATGACCGCCGGGGTGGTGTACGCCCAGCGCCGCCTGCGCAAGAAGCGGATCTTCTCCATCAGCCCGCAGCGCATCAACCTCTGCGGGCAGCTCAACCTGATGTGCTTCGACAAGGTGCCGCCCCCGCCCCCCCCGCCCCCACCCTGGGAGGGGGGCCCCGCTCGGCGAGCGCTGACGGCCCCGTTTCTCTCCGGCAGACGGGGACTTTGACGGAGGACGGGCTCGACTTCTGGGACTTCGTACAGGCCCAGGGTGGTCGGTGAGCAAGAGGGCCGGCCGCCCCCTGCCCCCTGCCAGGCCGCCTGCCGTGGGGAGCCGGGCGTTGGGGCTCCCAGCCTGGTCCCCCGGGTGTCGGCTGGGCTTCCCCGGCACCTGGCCCTGCCTGCGGTGGCAGTGGGCCTTCTGCCCGCGGAGCAGGAGCCCGGCCGGCCGTGTCGCAAGGCGGGTGGTGCCGGCCCCTCCTGGGTCAGCGGCGCGACGGCCGGCCCTTTGCTGGGGCCGCTCCGCGATCTGGAATCCGGCTTGCCCGGGATCCCTGCGGAGCCTGCCGCCCGCCGGGAACGGTCTTCCCTCCAGTAGGTGCCGGGGCTGCTGTGCCCGGTTGCAGCCCCCCGCCCCCGCTCTGGTGCCGAGGCGGATCCGCTCGGCGGGATCGCAGGGCGTGAGACCTGAAGGGCCCTCTGCCCCCCCCCCCCCATGGGAAGGCCCCAGCCGCGGGGGCCGGTCTCCGTTGGTCCCCGGTCAGGCCGGAGTGGGGGGAGAGGGGCCGCCCCTGAGCCGTCGCGTCCTTTCCCCAGCTTCCTCCCCGCGGGACGGGGCCTTCGCGACCCGGCTCTGCGCCACTCGCCCTTCGTCACGGCCATGGCCACCTGCCACTCGCTCACCACCATCGGGGGGTGTCTCTCGGGGGACCCCCTGGACCTCCGGATGTTCGAGGCCACGGGCTGGGTGAGGCACCGGGGCAGGGCAGGTGGGACGGGAAGAGGCGGCGGGGGGCGTTGGTCGTGCGCCCCTCCCCTGTGGCCCGAGGGGCGCTGCCGGACCTGCACCGGGGGCCTGCCTGCTCGCAGCATGGCCAGCCCTCGCTGCTGCTCTGCCGCCCCGCTGCAAGCACCCCCGGGCGTTGGGGGGCACGGGCAGGGTGGGCCAGGCCAGGGGCCTTCAGCTGCAGTCCGGCGTCTCCCCAAGCAGGTCCTGGAGGAGCCCAGCCAGGAGGAGACGGCCTTGCATGACCAGATCCAGCCCACCGTGGTGCGCCCCCCCGACCAGACCCTTCCCGACGTGCCGGAGGGGACCCCCGAGGACGAGGTGAGCGGTGCGCGGCGCCCCTCCCCACCCCAGGGGCTCCGGCAGCACGGCCTCTGCCCCCTCCTCTCCCGGGAGCGTGGCCGGCGGGCAGCCCGCCCCCTCACGCCCCGTCCTCTCTTCCTTCTAGGAGCCGCTGAAGCTGACGGTGAGCGCCGCCGGGCCCCCACCCCCGCGGCCGTGGGCGCCCCCGGAGAGGCCGGGGGCGGAGGGGTGGCGCCCCCCGCTGACCCCGGCCCTGCCCTGCAGGCGACCCGCCAGGTCGGCCTCCTGGCGCAGTTCCCGTTCTCCTCCAGCCTGCAGCGCATGAGCGTGGTGACCCGGACGCTGGGCGAGAAGCGGCTGGTGGCCTACATGAAGGGCGCGCCGGAGACGGTGGGCAGCCTCTGCCGCAAGGAGACAGGTGCGCCCCGGGCCCGGCGGCCCCTCGGGGGGGCGGGGGCGTCTGCGGGCGCCCCCGGCGCTGCCCGGGCCCGGCGGCCGTCGCCCACCCTGCCTTTCAGTTCCAGAGAACTTCTCGGCGGTGCTGGAGTCCCACACGCGGCAGGGCCTGCGGGTCCTCGCCCTGGCCTGCCGCCGCCTGGAGGGCCGGTTCACGTGGCACCGGGTGCAGCACGCCAGCAGGTCAGTGGCGGGCCCCGCTCCCCGGGCCGCCCCGGAGCCCCCGTGCCCGGCCGTGACCGACTGCCCCCTCCCTGCAGGGACGCCATCGAGTGCCACATGGACTTCCTGGGCTTCGTCATACTGCAGAACAAGCTGAAGCCGGCGACGGCGCCCGCCCTGGCTGAGCTGCGCCGGGCCCGCATCCGCTGCGCCATGGTGACAGGTGGGCAGGGCGGCTCGGTGGCTGAGGCAGCCCCCCCGGAGCGACCGCCACGGCCTCCCGAAGACGCCCGCCGCCCCACCCTCCAGAGGCCCCCTTTGGGAGGCATTGCCAGGCGCGGGGGCGGCCTGTGTGGCTGGCCCAGCTCGGGGAGGTACCCCGAGGCCCCGAGGGGGAGGCGCTGGGAGCAGGGCCAGGTGGCCCGGTGCAGGTGGCCCGGCCCCGACACCCTGCCTCCCTCCCGCTCTCCGTGGCCAGGAGACAACCTTCTGACGGCCATTTCCGTGGGCCGGGAGTGTGGCATCGTGCCCCCCAAGGGGAAGGTGATGCTGACGGAGGCCCTGCCCCCCCGGGACGGGCAGCCGGCGACCATCAACTGGCAGTGTGCGGACGAGCTCCCGGCCCCGGACGTCCCGGACAAGGCCAGCAAAGAGGTGAGGGGGCACGCGGGACCTCGCCCGGGCCCTCCCAGGGGGCTGAGGCGATGGGGGGGCAGCTTTGGGACGGTGGGGCCCTTTCCCATTCTGCCTCTGGGCCCCAGGAGATCAGGCTGATGCTGGAGGAAGAGGAAACGGCCCCCGCGCCCCGGCCGGGCGCCCCAGACGCTAGCTACCACTTCGCCATCAGTGGGCGGTCCTTCTCGGTCGTCTGGGACCACTTCCCCGACCTGCTGCCCAAGGTGAGCCTCCGGGGAGGACCCCCGGCGTGGAAGCGGGCCGGGATCCCTGCGGGGTGTGGGGGGTGTGGCCTGCTGCCTCTTGGGCGGCTCCCTCCCTGGCCCGAGCCCCCAAGCTCCCCCCGAGACCCTCTCTGCCTGCCCGTTGCAGCTGCTGCTCTGCGGCACCATCTTTGCCCGCATGGCGCCCGACCAGAAGACCCAGCTGGTGGAAGCCCTGCAGAAGCTGGAGTGAGTGCCCCCGCAGCCCGGCTCCGCGGTCCTGGCCCTGGGGGGCTGCCCGGGGCTCCCCCGCCCCCTCCTCAGCGTGCTCTCTTCTTCCAGCTACTGCGTGGGCATGTGCGGCGACGGAGCCAACGACTGCGGGGTGAGTTGCCCGGGCCGGCCGTGGGGGGCCGAGCCAGGCTGGTGGGACCAGCACGGAGGCCAGCGGGGGGGGGCAGGCGGGTCCGGGGCCTCTGCCCCGTCCACCACTCCTCTCTCCCCCCGACAGGCCCTGAAGCGCGCGCACGCCGGCATCTCCCTTTCTGAGCTGGAGGCCTCCGTGGCTTCACCGTTCACCTCCAAGGCCCCCGATATTTCCTGCGTGCCCAACCTCATCCGGTAGGTGGGGCCCTCCCTCCCTCCGGCCCGGCCCACGGGGCGCACGCCAGGCCCCTGCAAGCACACCTCTCTCCCCTCAGGGAAGGCCGGGCCGCCCTCGTCACCTCCTTCTGCGTCTTCAAGTTCATGGCGCTGTACAGCATCATCCAGTACCTGAGCGTACTGCTCCTCTACTCGGTGAGCGGGGGGGGCTGGGGGGCACGGAGCCTGCCCCCGGGCGGGCGGGCGGGGGGCGACGGCCGGGGCCGTGATGCATCCGCTGCTCCCTTCTAGACCCTGGGCAACCTGGGCGACGCACAGTACCTCTTCATCGACGTGGCCGTCATCCTGTCCCTGGCCTTCACCAGTAAGCCCCCTGCCCTGCCCTGCCCGCGTCGGGCGCACCTTCTCCCTCCCGCCATCGCCCCCCAGACGGGGCCGCCCCGCCGGAGCACAGGCAGGGCCTCCTCGGGCTCGGGGGCCCGACCGCTGGGGCTACGTGGGCTCCACGCGGCGCCCGGGCCGTGTCCGCTCGCGCTGCCATACGGCAGGATCGGGGGGGGGTGTCCGCAGCGAGGCGACGCGGGGTCCCGATGTCGCACAGCTGCGTCAGGCGCGGGCGGCCCCCCCGGCGGGCCTTTGCCCGGTGACCTGCAAGTCGGCCGGCCACGTGGGGCCTCCGGGCCAGGAGGAGACTGGGCGCCTCGGGAGCAGGACCTGGCCTCGCGGCAGGTTTCGTGGCAGCCCTTTGCGTGTGTCTGCACCGCGGGAACGTGTCGCGAGGGGCTGGCGGAGAGGAGGGGAGGGGAGGTGCCCGGCGGGGGCCGGGGCGAGCGGCGCCGTCCTGGCCAGCTTGCCAGGGCAGAGGCGCGGAGCCCCCACGCCCGTCTCTCCCCAGTGAGCCTGAACGGCGCCTGGAAGGAACTGGTCCCGCGGCGGCCGCCCTCCAGCCTGGTCTCGCCGCAGCTGCTGCTCTCGGTGCTGACGCAGATCCTGCTGGCGCTCAGCTTCCAGGTGGGCGCCTTCCTCCTCGTCCAGGGGCAGCCCTGGTACCAGCAGGGGCAGGACCGGTAAGTGCGGCGGGGGCCGGGGAGGGCTCCAGCCGGCGCGGGCGGGCGCTCACACTGGGCTTGCGGCCCCTGCAGGAGCTGTGGGCTCGGCCCCAACGGCACGCGGGGCCCCCCCGGGGCCCCCACAAGGAACAGCACGGCCGGGCCGGAGCCGGCGGCCGACGACGACGAGGACTCGGTGCGCAGCTTCGAGAACACCACCCTGTTCTACGTCTCCTGCTTCCAGTACGTGGCCGTGGCGCTCGCCTTCTCCAAGGGCCGGCCCTTCCGGCAGCCCCCCCGCACCAACGGTGAGTGGCGTGGCCGGCCGGCCGGGGCCCCCGCGCCCCAGCCCCCTCGGCCGTGTCTGCGCAAGGGTGGCGGCTCTGGCCCAGCCGGCCCCCGGCCGAGGCGAAAGGCGGAGGGGCCCAGGCGACGGGCCGTCCTCGCAGGGACGGCTGCTCCACCCAGGCCCGTGGCGGCTGCACCCAGCCGGGTCCGCTCCGTCTCGAGCCGCGATGGGGGGCAGCGAGTGCCGAGCCCCTTCGAGGAGGGGCGAGCGAGTGGCCGGGGCAGCCCGCCTCCTCCTGACCCACCTCCCGCCCCCCCGCAGGCCTCTTCATCGCCTCCCTGCTGGCCACCTCCGGCTTCCTGCTCTTCCTCCTCCTGTATCCAGTCCCTGCCCTGGACGACTTCTTTGAGGTGCGGGGCCCACGTGCCTCTCCCCCCTCTCGGCGGCCCGCCTGCTCCCGCTGCCTCCCTGGGCACGACCGCGGAGGGCCGGCTGGGCCCGCCTCTTTGGCGAGCCTGGATGGGGCCGCGGGCCGAGGGCGAACTCGCACGGGTTGGGGTGGTCCTACGGAGGAGCTGCATGCTGGCGGGGCCCCTGCCCCCTCAGCTCATGTGGGGCCAACATAACCCACGGGCACGAGGCCAAACCCCATGCAGGACGCCTAGTCGGTCGGAGGAGCCGAGCGCCCTTCCCGCCGCTGCTGGGGCCGCCGTCCCCGTGGCTCTCCAGCCGGGTGGGGCCGTGGGGGGCTTGCAGAGGCGGGGCCGGGAAGGCGAGGGGCTCCTCGTGGCGGGCCGGGAGCCCGGCGGGGACGCTCACCGGGGCCACGCGGCGGCTCTCCCCGCAGCTGGCCTGCATCCCGTACACCTGGAGGCTGCTGCTGCTGCTGCTGGTGCTGAGCAACCTGGCGCTGTCCCTCCTGCTAGAGGTAGGCACGGCGGGCGGGGGGCGCACGGGACCCCCGGCCGGCCCGGCCGCGCGGCCACGGGTCCCGCAGTGCTCCAGACGCTCCTCCTCCCCCAGAACTTCGTCTGCGACTGCGACGCCCTGTGGCAGCGCGTGTGTTACGCCAGGAGGGAGTGCGACTACCCGGGCCGGGCCACCTGCCCCCAGGTGCAGCGGGACTGGGGGGCGGCCCTCCTTGCTGGGTGGGGGACGGGCATTGTGCGGGGGGAACCGTGGCGGGGCCTGACCGGCGGGGCCCGGGCGCGTCGGTGCAGCGAGGGGCAGCCCGTGGCGCTGCACCCTTTCCCCGCGGGGCCCGCCCCCCGGGCCGGCGGCTCCCCTCGCGCCGGGCAGGCCCCACTGCCGCCTCCCGGGGAGCCCCCGGGGAGGGTGCTGGGGGCCCCTGCCGGTCTGCCGCAGGGCCCAGGCCGTCGGGCAGCCGCCGACCTCTCCCTCTTTCCCTCCCTCCCTCGCAGCTGGAGCTGGAAGAGCTGGCCACCGGGTACGCGTGCCGCCGGCAGGCCCCTCCCCGGGCCAAGTACAAGCGCCTCGCCCAGGAGCTGCTCTTCGACCCGGACTGGCCGCCACGGCCGAAAACCAGCACCAAGGCCCGCGGGCCTCCTCCGGCCGAGAGCAGCGCCTGACTCCGGCCCGGGTGGGCGGCCGCACGGGGGGAGATGGGGCCCAACACTGCCCACCCTCTTGCTGGGGGCTGCCCTCCCCCCCCACAGTACTCGCGCCCCTTCCAGCGGGCCCTGCAGGAGAGAGGCCCCCGTGGCTGCGCTTTGTGAGCAATGCTCCCGCGGCTGCAGGAGGAACCCCGGTCCCCCCGAGCCCTGCCTTGCCCGCCTGGCCCCCCGCAGCCCTCGCGGCCCCACACGAGCCCGTGGGTGCCAGCGCCTCGTCTTCCCGCATGGACGGGCTCGGCCTTTGGGAGGGCGGCTCTTGGCGGGTCTGCCGGGATCTCCTCCCGGGGGTTTCCCGGGCTCCCTCACCATCAGGGGAGCGTGTTCATTCCGGGGCCGCTTCCAAAGGGAGGCCTTTAAAAGTCTTTCCGCAAGGTGGTTTTTTAAAGAAATAAAGGTGACTGTACGTGAGGCGTTTCAGTTGTCGTCGCATTTAAGCGTGGGGGCGGAAGGGGTGCCTCGGCGTGGCTTCCTCCCTCCCTGTGGAAGTTCAGTTGCTTCACTCCCAGGAATATTTCGGGGGTGTTGCCGGGGCTGCCCCGTCATCCCCCGCCCTTCTCCAGCCTTTTGCCCAGAGGGCCATGCCGGCACTTTTTCACGGGCGGGCTTGGCGATGGCCTCGACGCACCCCTGCCCCGATCTGCGCTGCTCTGGGGCCGCGGCCCAGAGGGGCCCCTGGCGGCCTCGCGAATGCCAGCCCCATCGCGAGGCACATGGGCGGCCTGGCGTGCGGTCCTGGGGCCCCCTCCAGCGCGGCGGACAAGGGAGGGGCCCTTGGGCCTCCCGCCGCTCTTCCCGTCACAGAGGGCGGACGGTGAGCGGAGGCTCCCCCTGAAGGGGGCACGGGCCCCCCTGCCCGGGCCTGGCGTGGAAAGGCCGCCGTGGGCGCGAGGGCAGGTAGTGGCACGTGAGGCGACGGTCGGGAGGATGCCCCCGAAGTCCCTTTTTGCTTGGCAGGAGGGAGCAGCTGCGTGTCCCTGGGTGCTGGTGCCAGGCTGGGGGGCACTGTGGTGCGTGGCGGGGGGCCGAGGCGGCTGCCCGGTCCGCGGGGGGCGCTCTGGCGGGGAGCAGGTCCCTCCTCCAGAGGGCCAGGCGGCGCGGGAGGAAGATGCGTGTTTATCTGCCTCGAGGCACTGGGAGGCGGAGCTGTGGGAGCATCGCCTTCGAAAGCAGCAAGCAGCCCGGGGCTCCTTCCGCGGCCGCCTCGGCCCGCACCGTTTCCCCGGCGGCCCCCCCGCCGGTGCGCGAGCTCGCTCTGGGTCTGACTCCGTCCCTCTGCGTCGTTCTCAGCCGGCACGCAGCCGGGGCTGGTCCAAGTGCACTCCCAGCGCCCGGGGGGCACCAGGTTGGGGGCAGCTGTTTTATCCCCACCGTAAACTGGCAGTGAATTGAGCACGATGCAGAAAAGGCGCGGAAGTCAGTCTGCCGACAGGGAGCCGCGGGCTCAGCGCCGCTCGGCGGGCTGTGCCCTCCAGCCGCCCTCTTGCCGGTCCCTGCACAAGCTGGGCGGATCGAGAGCTTCCGCTGAGGAGAACGGCAACGTGGCGCCCCTTCACGGAGCAGCCCGTGCGGCGCCGGCCTGCCTTCTGCAGCCGGGTGGGTCCTGGGAGGTGGCTGCCGCCGCATCTGCAGGGGGCTGGGGGGGAGGCTGACGGGAACGACGCATCCGCTTGGCTTCGTTCGAGCTGCCCGGCAAGACGAAGATTTCCTGATGAGAGAAGGAATGGGGCTGCAAAAGCACCGAGAACGTGTCTTTAAAGCGCAGCGGCCCCTCGCTGGGGGGGGGAATGGGAAAGAGGGAAAGTGGGGCCTAGGGCTTTGCCGTGCCCCCTCCGCTGCGGGCCTCTCCGACGGGCCTCGTGCATCGGTGCCGGCCTTTGCTCTTGCAGCGCACGTCGGGCCCAGGTTCCTTCCGCCAGGTTTTTAGTTCAGCTCAGCTGGGTGAAGCCCACGCTGGCTGAAACAGGAGAGCCTGGACATGTTTCTTTCTTCAAAACGACAACATGAGATAAGAGCACAATAACAACAGAAACCATAGCATGAGTTGCCCTCATTTGTGTTGTTTATAGACTGCCCGGTAGCTGAAGCTCTCTGGGAGGCGAACGATTCGCCGGCCTGGGTTCCCCCACTCCACCCTGCTGCCTGGGGCCCGAGGAGCTGCTGCTTCGCAGGCGCCGGCGTGGCTCAGGGATGGGAGCTTTCGCACTGGGGGCGCAGAGGCCCGAATTCTCAGAATCACAGAACAGTGGAGTTGGAAGGGGCCAGAAGGCCACCAGGTCGCACCATCCCCCTCAGAGCGCTGCCCAGTTTCTTTCTGAGTGTCTCCAGGGTGGGAGAGCCCCCCACCCCTCCAGGCAGCTGGTCCCACTGTCTCTGACAGTGAGGAAGCTTTTCCTGACGCCCAGCCGCAATCTGGGTTGTCACAACTTCATTCATTTTTCGATTTATATCCTGCCTTTTTCCTACAAAGGCTCAAGGCAGCTTACATCTCCTCCCCACAACAACCACCCTGTGAGGTAGGTTGGACCGAGAGTCTGTGACTGGCCCAAAGTCACCCAGTTGGCTCTATGGCCGAGCGGGGACTCGAACCCGGATCGCCTGAGTCCCAGTCCTGTGCTCTTAACCACACCACACCACACTGGCTCTCAACTTGAGCTGATTATTCCGTGTCCCACACTCTGGTATCAGCAAAAAGACACCTTGACCCCCCTCTCTGTGGCAGCCTTTGAGGTCCTTACAGAGGGCATCATGTCCCCCTCAGTCTTCTCTCCTCAGGGCTGAACAGGCCAAGTTCCCTCAGTCTCTCCTCACAGGGCAGCGTCTCCAAGCCCTGGATCATTTTTGCCACCCTGCGCTGGACCCTTTCTAATTTCCCTGCATCTTTCCTAAATCTTGGTGCCCAGAACTGGACACGGGATTCCAGGTGAGGTGGTTTAACTAGTGAGGAGTACGACGAGGGGAAGTAGGACGAGTCCTTCTCATGATGGGGAAGTTCTGCTTCCATTAATGCATCCCAAAATGGCACTTGCTCTTTTGGGGGCTGCATCACCTCGCTGGGTCATATTTAGCTGCTCGTCCACAATCACGCTGAGGTCTTGCTCGGTTCCGCTGGGCCTCTTCCGCATCTTGCATCGATGCTTCGGGTTTCTTTTTCCGAGGGTCCCGGCAGAAGCGCATTCCGCTGCTTGCGGCCCTGTGTTCAAGATCGCCCTGGATCTTCCTTCTGCCCCGGGGGGATCACCCGGTGCTAGATCGTCCTGTTCAGCCACAAAGCCCCCCGGGTGACTTTGGGCCAGTCCGCGACACTTGGCCCGATTACCCCGCAGGGCTGTCGTGAGGATGACCGGACTCCGCTTCCTCCCCGGCGCCGAAAGGCGAGCCCGAATTGCAAAGACATAAAGGGGACGCTGCGAGCGACGCGCCCGGGGCCGGCGGTGCCCGGAGAGCGGCAGAGGTTGGCCCGACAGCGCCGCGGCTCCGGGCAGGGGCGACGGAGGTCCCCGGCGCGTCGCGGGCGGGCGGCGCTGCTGCGCTCGGCGGGGACGCGAGGCGACGCGAGGCGGCACCGCCGCTGCCGCCATGTCCGGGGTGCAGCGCATGCGAGCGGCCAACGAGCGGCACAGCCGGAGCGTCACGCAGCGGGGCGGCCTCCACCGGGGCCAGGTACGGGCGGCGGGGGCGGCGCGCTCAGGCCGGGCCAGCGGCGGCCGCGGCGCCCCGGCGATGCGGGAAGAGCGGCGCCCCCGGGCCCGGCGGGGCGTGTGCCGGGGGGACTCGCCGCGCGCCTCTCCTCCGCCGGCCTCGCCGTCGCTCCCGGGCGCGCGTCCTGGCGCGTCCGGCTGCGGAGCGGGGCTCCCGGGGAGAGGGCCCCGGCGGCCCGCGAGGGGCCGGAGCTTCCTGCGCGCTCACGCGTCCTTGCTCCCCTCTCGCGCAGACGCCCCAGGAGGAGAAAGCCCCCGTCGGCCCGTGGCTCCTGGCCCTCTTCGTCTTCGTGGTCTGCGGATCAGGTAGGGCAGCCCCGCCGGCGGCGCTTCCCCCGCCCGCCTCGGCGCGCGGCTCTCCCCGCCCGCCCGGGATCCTCTCGCCGCCCTGGGGGGAGCCGAGGAGACGCGAGAGCGGGGGGCCTCGGATCACCGCGTGCGTTTCCTGGAGCCCGGCTCTCCCCGACACGCACCACGATGCTGGGACCCCCGGACGCGCAGCCGTCGTTAGCGGAAAAGCCATTCAGCGGGCGGGACCCCGGCGCCGCCGGGCATGGTTCCCCTCCCCCGGGACGGTCAGCGCGGCCCCGTGGCTGCAGCAGCTCCCCCCCGCCCGCAGCAATTCTCCCAGCCCAGCCTGCGAGGTGGCCGAGGACCGGACTGGAGCCCTTCTGCATGTCCCCCCCTACCGGAGGGGGGCGAGGGGGCAGAGCATGGGGTTCTGGCTGGCAGCTGGGGCTGGGAGGCTTTTCCGCAGGGGGAGTGGAGCATCACGGAGTGGCAGGGCCGGAAGGCGCCAAGACGGTCGGTGGGTCCAGCCGGCGCGGGGCAGGCCCCGATTCCGGGTCGGGGGGTGCCACCTGCAGGCAGCTGTGGCCCCGCAGGATCTGGGGGGCAGCTGCTTTGGGCCCGCTCCGAGCTGCTCCCTTTCGTGTCTTCTCTTCCCAGCCGTCCTCCAGATGATCCAGAGCATCCGCCTCGGGGGCTAGCGGCGCAGGAGCAGCTCCTTGCAGAGCCTCCGTCAGCCCTCAGGAAATCGTGGGACATCCTCCAGGCCTCCCGAAGAGCCTCTCCTGGAATGACGACGCCGTGACCCGACTCTCCCCCGCGCCCGCCCCGCGCCCCGCTCCACCTGGGACTTTTGCGCCAGGCCATCTCCGGTGCTGGGCCGCCCTGGGAAGCTCCGATCGAGGTGCAACGAAGCGGGCTGCCCGGTGCCCTCCCCGAGAACTCGCGGGGCGCATGATGGCCAAGCAGCGGCGGGGTGCGCGGCGGGGTTTGCTCCCGGTCCTTCTGTAAAAGCCCCCCGGTCCCGGCCGAGCCTCCGAATAAAGGAATCCCCGCGGGGATCGCGGCCACGGCCTGCGCGCTTCTGGTCTTCCGATGACAGGGGCTCCCGGCCTGGGAGCCGCCGCGGCCCGCCCGGCACCGACGGGCACCGAGCCGGCGGGGCCGCGGGAGGGGCGCTCGGGGCGGGCACCCCGCGGCTCCTGCGCGCAGCCCCGGCACCCGGCCTGCGGTCCCGGGGGAGCGACTCTGCAGCCCTATCTCTAGGGGCGCGGCGCCCCGGCCCAGGAGACCCCGCGCGGCGCCGCTCTAGGCCTCCGTCTCGCCGTCCTGGAGGGGCGCCCCGGCCCGTCTCTCCCCCGCCGCTCTTGCTCCGAGCTTTCGCTTCAGGCGGCCCATAGAGCCCCCGGGCTAGAGCGGCCTTCCGCCCCACTGCTTCCGGTTGCGTCATCCCGCCGTAGCGGAGGCGGGCGCGCCGCCGGAAGTCCTCTCGCGGTTTCCACTTCCGGCGCGCGCGCTCGCCCTGCGATTCGCTCTCCGCCGCGGGGAGCCAGCGCGAGGAGGCGACCGGCGGGCGACCGGCCTCCGCCGCCGGTGAGCGAGGGCGGA